CCATTTGTGTGCGTCAATCCTGGCTTGCTGTCAACCAGGGTTTTTCTATGTCCAACACCCACATGAATACCAGCAACCTAGCACCCCTGAAAAGTGGGAGAGCCGGTGTGAACACATCCCAGGAGCTTTCCTTCCTCCATCCGTGCACTCAGCAGGTGCTGGGACACCATATTGTGAGGTTTTGGGCCAAACACAAGTGGAGCCTACCCCTCAGGGTCCTCAGGCCCATTAAGCTCTTTAAGCTGGAAAAAGTTTCATCCTTATCCCTGACACAGCTTGCTGGTCGCTCCTCAGCCACCTATAAATCTAAGTCTAGCTCAAAAGTTGAGAAAGCCGTATTCCTAAGAGAGTCACCACCCGCAGATCTGAGAAAGCAGGTGCTGACCAAAGCATCCGTTCAGACGCCAGACAGTCTTCTGGTGTCTTCACCTACATTTACACAGTTCCAGATGGCCCCACAAGGGATCCCATCTTGGAATCCCCATGGGCCCTTGAAGCCTCCTCCAGCTGGACAGGAAGGCAGGTGGCCTTCTAAGCCCCTCACATGCAGCCTCACAGGCAGCGCCCAGCAGAGCGGGAGCGTAGGAGCCCAATCTTCAAGGACTGGAGAGACCATGGAGGCAGCGCCACAACCCAGCGTTCCCTTGGGAACCTTTCTGCCGGCAAACCTCCAAGGCACACGTAAGGATGTGAGTGGTTTAGAGGCTCCAGGGACCAGTAAAGGCTCTCAGCTCCCTGGAATGTCTGTCTCCCATGATCCAGAAGAGCTCTATCTTATGGGAGAGGTTGTTAGTGAATTTGAGCCCAGAATGGCCACCAAATCAGAGACGCAGTCTCAAGTTTGTGGCGCCGTTGTGCTCCTTCCAGATGGTTTTACTGACATTCCCCTTGCTACAGAGAGTTTGGCTTCTCAAGTGCCCCACGGCCGTCTCCAGAGCATGCCTACCAGGAACATGCGGGCTTCCCAGGAGCTACGTGACCTTATGGCAGCCAGAAGGAGCAACCTGGGGCACAAGGAGCCCAAGAACCCGAAATGTCAAGGCTCATGCAAGAGCCAGAACCAGATGTTTACCCCTACTCACAAGACTGAGAACCCAGTGAAGCCCAACTTTGAAAAACGTGAAGAGAGGCTTGAAGAACTGAGGACTCCCCAGCGTACCCCAGCCACAAAAACAGAAGAAACCCGACAGGATGAAGGCCTCCAGCTGTTGCCGTCCAAGAAACAGCCTCCTTCGATAAGCAACTTCGGAAAAGACATCAAACAATTTTTTCAGCGGGTCTTTTCAGTGAAAAAAAGCAAGCCAGCACCAGTCACTGCCAAGAGCCAGAAAACAGTGAAAAACAAATCACATGTGTACAGCAGCTGTGCTGAAGCTGAGGGGCTCAGGACAGCAGTCGGACAGATGCTGGAGGAAAAAATGACACTTTGCCGTGAGCATCATGCCTTGAAGGTCAATCAGCACAAACAGGAGTTCCAAGCCCCAGTCTGTGGGTTGCCCTGCAGCCACAGGCACCTCTTCCACCCGGAACACAGCAGAACGCTGGGCTATGCAGCCAGCAGTCAACAAGCCACTCTCAAGAGCCAGAGTTACCCCAACAGAGAGAGGCACATCAGAGATCAACAGCCCTTGAAAAGCGTCCGGTGCAACAATGAGCAATGGGGCCGGCGACATCCCCAACCCTTGCTCCCCAAGAACCCTGTCTCCCCAGTCAGTGCCCCTCAGGGTGGACTGAAGACACCCGGTGCCTTTGGCCACCATCCCCACTGTCCAAAGCACTGTCTTCTTTGGGAAGGTATCTAATCTGGTCAATCACAAATTCTTTTTTCAGCATTCCCTAGAGAAAAACAAGTCCCCAAGAAAAGAAATCACTCTATGTAAAGAAATAATATTTCTCTCATGTTCTTATACCCAGAACATTTAATGTTCCATAATAAATAAATATCGCGCTTTTTTTCCCCCATAAACGGGTAATGGCTTTTATTTGTGTCATGCTTGGTGTGGGCTTGTTTTCTATAAGTGACAGGATGTGGAGGGATTCTGAGAGTGGTGTTGTGAGCCCACCTTCATCCTGAGTTCCTTCACTGAAACTTACGTTTCCAAAACACTGTCTTTACACAAACAACAAAAAATTCTAAAAACAAGATGAGAAAACCTATGAAGATCCCACTCAGAGATATGGTTCAACCCATCTTTCTACTACTTACTCTCTACCTCAAACTTTATGCAGCTGTAGGAAGAAAGTGTGCAGAGACGTCATAGGACTGAATACCTCCATGCAGGCTCCAGGAACTGCCACAGTCAACTAGCTTCATGTGTCACAAAATAGTGGAAGCTCGGGTGGGAGAGTGTGGGCCCCGAGTTCAGAAGCCAGGGAAGTCTTGACCCTGGATATCCTGGTGGAGAGCAGATAATGCCTGCCCTTGGGAAGCCCCTTCTCTCCCTCGCAAAGGCTGGGATGGAGACGGGCCCTCTTAGCCCAGCCTGCATACAAAGCACAGAGTCCCCATCCCGCTGCCCCTCCCTTTCTTGCACTCTGGAGTGGTGGTGGGGACAGACCTTCCAGCACTGTGGATGTAAAGGTGGGGGGCGGGGGGAGCCTTCACGGAGGCTGCTGAGGACCGTGAGCTCCCCTGCCCAAAATGAGTGAATGACCCTGCTCCTGGGTCACCTGCCTTTGTCTGTCTCACCTATGTACGTCTCAGCTTCAGAGAAGTAGTTCTGGGTGAATGGGGCGGGGCATGCCTGTGTGTGCAGAGGCTTCCGATGGTGGGGCTCTGTGGAACCACAGCAGGATGCAGACAAAGAACTGAAAAGGGGGCAAAGTGGTGTGAGGGCTCCATAAGCGGTGGCATGACCTGGGAGCCTCTGACATTCCAACCCCTTCCACAGGCATAGAGGGGACTATGGCTCATCCTGGCCCCACCCCAGGGTCTGTCCCTGCTCCAGCTCCCAGACCACAGACCTAAAAACACATTTACCCCCAACACAGAGGACCAGACTAGTGAGAAGACAAAGTGAATAAGGGAAGATGAATTTCTTAACATCTTTAATAAGCTTGCACATAGTAACCTATTTAATGTGTGTGTGTGTGTGTGTGTGTGTGTGTGTGTGTGTGTGATAGAGTTTCACTCTTTTGCCCAGGCTGGAGTCAGTGGTATAATCTCGGTTCACTGCAACCTCCAGCCCCTGGGTTCAAGTGATTCTCCTGCCTCAGTTTCCCAAGTAGCTGAGATAAAAGCAACCAACAACAAAACCAGCCAAATTTTTAAAATTTTAAAAAAAAAGGGGGTTTGCCAAGGTGGCCAAGCCGGACCCAAAACCCCGAACCCCGGGCAACCAACAACCCTGGCCCCCCAAAAGGCCAAGAATAAAAGCAAGAACCCACCCAACCGGCCCAACCAATGAAATTTCAAAAAGAAGAGGTGAAAAAAAGGGAAAAAACAAAGAACAAAAAAACCCAAGCAAGAACCCGGAAGCCGGGGAACCTTAAAAAAAAACGAACCCCAGGACTGCCCCCAGGGGAGAGGTGGTGACTTAGAAGGACCCAGCAGCCGAGCTGGGGTCACAAAGCAAATCTCCCCCGGCTCCTGAGGTCCCTCCTTGCCCCACAGACCAGCAGAGGAAGAGGCAAGCAGGCAGGATTTGAACACACAAGGCAGCTGGAAGTGACCTGCCCAGAATGGGCAGAGAGTGGGCAGGGCAGGGGCCGTCCCCGCTCTGTCTCCCTCTGCTTTCGGCACAGCTTCCTCCTCGCTGGGCCCTCTCTGTATGGGAAAGCAGGAGGTCCCCACAGATCAGGGAGAGGAGTGTGAGGTCTCTAGAGGGAGTTTCCATACCTTGTGCACATACAGGCGTGCAGGAGGCCCAGTTCCGGCGGCCTCATTTCCATGGTGGAGAGGACCGTGCCTGGCGGTGCCACTGATTTAGATGACAATGGCAATGGCCCTGCCCCCAGCATGTGGGACTGGCTGGCACTTGGGGTGAAGGGGGTAGTAGGCAACAGTCCCCAGCATGTGTCCTGTCCTGGGGCCAGGTCTGTCTGGGGCCCAGATGACTGAGGCAGCCTCCAAGGTGGACCTAGCAGTGACAGTAGAGCCAGGACCAGCAGGAGGGGCTGGGACCTGGAGCAGAGAGCAGCTCTGCCCCCACCAGGGAGCTCAGGAGAGAGTGTCACAGAGCTGGGACCCTGACTGCTGAGGATGGGTCACGCCTACCTGCTGCTGGGTTCCCTCGGGAAACCGAGGGGCGAGTTCTGGGACGTGGAGGAGCTGGATGTGGACCCCATGGCTCAGGCCAGGAGAAGCGCCACAGGAAACGCAGGCCGACCAACAAGAACGTAGGAAGGCGCAAGCCCTTACCCCTCCGCGACTCAGTCTCCCATGGGGTGCAGCGAGGCCAGCAATGGAGAGACCACAGAGACCTCCCACAGAAACCTCACAGAGACATCTCGTACAGGGAGCCCACCGGGACTGCTCACTGCCACAGAGAGAGACACACTGCAGCCTCCACAGAGACCCCACAGAGCTCTCAGAGACCTCATGGTGCCCCACCGAGACACAGCACTGAGATTCCCAGAGTCCTCACACAAACGTCACACAGACCCCTTCAGAGAACCCCACAGAGACCACACTGAGAGACTTCATTCAGTCCCACAGAGACTTCCTGCAAATTTCAGAGACCTTCTTTGGTTCTCACACAGAGGCCTCACACAGATACCCGACAAAGGCCTCAGAGACTTTACACAGAATCATAAAACAGGGAACTCATGCAAAGACTCATGCAGCTCACTGCAACCTCCGGCCTCCAGCCCTAGAAATGGCACACAGCACTCCCCCACCCAACGGCCTCACAGAGACCTCTCTCAGAGTCCTCACACAGAGACCTTGCCCAGAGACCTCCCACTCTCCACAGAGACCTTGTAAGATTCCTCACACACAGGCCTCAGGTTGCTTCACACTCATCGCACAGAAACTTCTCACATAGAATTCCATCAAACACTCCACACAGAGGTTTCGTAGGGCTCTCACAGGGTCCTCACAGTCCTTATACAGCGTCCTCATGGTCCTCATACAGGGTCCTCACACATGGTCCTCACAGGGTCCTCACACAGGGTCCTCACAGGGTCCTTGCACAGGGTCCTCACATGGTCCTCAGCATTCGCTGAAAATCTAAGGCTTTTGCCAAGTGGGTGTTCAGCCTCCAAAGCCTTCTTTCCATTTGTCCCTATGTCACAACTGAACTCCTATATACCCCACAAAGCCCAGGGCTCCAAGAGCTCCTCCAGAAGTCTTCATGCCAGCCCAGGCACAGAAGCTAAGAATGTCTGTGTCTAGCTCTGGAAGGACCTGGGGCTTAATCTATCCAGGGTCCCTCAGCAGAGGGCGAGGGGAAGGGTGGAGCTTCAGAATGTTCTGGGAAGGGGAAGGAGTGGGCAGAGGCTGGGAGCGTGTGTATGTCCGCAGGAGAGATGAGGTACAGCCACCCCAGGGCCCTCCCTGTGGTCGTGAGGAACCTGTGGATGATGTAGGCCTTCTCGGTCCGAGTGAGAAAGGTCACTCTGCAGCTGGGTCTGAGACATTGAGGTCTCTGGGTTCGCTGCCTCCGCCCAGAAGGCACTACAGAATCAAGGATGGGGGATGCAGGGCTCAGAGGAACTCCTGAGCCCATGAACTTCCTACATAAGACCCTCAAGCTTCTCCCAGGCCATGCAATAGGACCCAAAGTTACCATAGAAATCTTTTTCTCTGAACCGCAAAGGAATACTTATTATTATTATATTATTATTATTATTTTTGAGATGGAGTCTCACTCTGTCTTCCAGGCTTGAATGCAGTGGTGTGATCTCAGGTCACTGCAACCTCTGCCTCCTGGGTTCAAGTGATTCTCCTGCCTCAGCCTCCTGAGTAGCTGGTATTTACAGGCACGAGTCACCATGCCCAGCTAATTTTTATATTTTCAGTAGAAACGGAGTTTCACCATGTTGATCGGGCTGATCTACCACTCCTGACCTCCTGATTAGCCTGTCTTGGCCTCCCAAAGTGCTGGGATTACAGGCCTGAGTCCGTGTGCCTGTTTTTTTTTTTTTTTTTTTTCCACAGGCAGGGACTCACCTGTTGCCCAGCCTGGAGTACAGTGGCGCAGTCATGGCTCACTACAGCCTCCAACTCCTGGGCTCAAGTGATCCTCCTGCCTCAGCTTCCCAAGTAGCTGGGACCACAGGCATGCACCACCACCCTGGGCTGTTTTTGTTTTTGTTTTTGAGACAGGGTCTCACTCTGTTGCCCAGGCTGGAGTGCAGTGGCACGAGCTCAGCTCTCTGCAACCTCTACCTCCTGGGTTCAAGCCATTCTCCTTCCTCAAACTCTGGAGTAGCTTGGACTACAGGCACCCACCACCATGCCCAGCTAATTTTTGTATTTTTAGTAGAGACAGGGTTTCATCATGTTGGCCAAGCTGGTCTTGAACTCCTGACCTCAGGTGATCCACCTGTCTCGGCTTACCAAAGTGCTGGGATTACAGACATGACCCATGTCGCCTGGCCCGTACACTGCACTGCCTTTTAGATAGAAAATGCATTGGGGAAACTGAGGCACACAGTGGCAGGAAGTGGAGCCCCCAGCAGCCCGCAACACCAGATGTCTGCTCTCTGTCTGGCCGTGGGCGTCACATCTGCCTCTGCAGCAGGAGGTAGAGATTGTGGCAGGAGTCTGTCAACTGGGAGGGGGAGAGGGGCCTGATGGCCAGGAATGGGGTCCCCGGGCACAATGCTTGTCCTCCTAGTACAGCTCTGGGTTGAGTACTTGGGCCTCCCTCCCCTCCGTATCCCCCCTCTTGCTGTCATCCCCAGCTGAGTGCCCCCCAGCTCAGAGCCCCCATAAACTTCAGTCTCTCCATTCTGCCAGATAAGGCTCATCTCCCTCCAAGGGAGTCTCCATAATGAGACTCAGAACATTACCAGAGGC